AAATTAAAACAATTAAATACAAAAAAATAAATCTATCTAATCTATAAGCATGAAATAATCTAAGGCAAGAGGTTTCTAGCCTCTTGGCTATTTAAACAAGAAAATAAAATCTAATTACAAGCATGAAAATAAATCTAAACTAATAAGCAATAAAAGAGAAATAAGAAAAACAAATCTTAATCTCCATCTTCATCTTCATCTTCATCATCCAACAAAGAGAAGAAAAGAAAATTTTAAAGTGGTGAAAATTTTTTTTATTAATTGTAACAAAAAGTTATAAATTTGGAAGGCCATCTCAATTAAGAGTAGCCCTCTTCTCCAAAAGGAGTTACCAAAATTTTCATACCCCTAACCCCTTACTCTCTACCCCTATTTATAGTAAACATCAGTGAATGAGAGCCCTTGGATTGAATCCTTATCCAAAACCATCAAAAATCAGTCATTGATATGTAACTGGCTCGTTAGTATCGATACCAGCATCGATGTCCAATCAAAAATCTACCTCCGCAGATGGATTCGTCTCGTTGAGCTAGGTGATTTTTATATATTATATGTTAAATTCCGCCTTCCGGATTGAGAGATATTGTCGTTTCTTTGCGGCCAATCATCTTGAATACATTTTGTTTTCATATTTGATTTTTTTATTTTCTTCGGCTTGATTCTAGGCTTGGGATTTTTGGCTCTTGCTTGTGTTCTTTATTTAATCCATGAGCTTTTGTTGAGAGATGGGATTTTTGGGCTTTATTCCTTATTAACCTGCAATTAAAGATAAAAACAATTATTAGTGGTATATTTATTCATTAAAAATAGATAATGAGGGTATAACATTATAATAAAATATGATTATCAGGTAGAACTATAACTTTTTTAGTATTACATACAGAGTCAAGAGGTAGAAATTTAACTAGAGGAAATAGACAAGAAAAATCAAACTTAAGAGGTAGATCAAAAGACAGGAGGTCCAAATCCAGGAATCCAAGTAACAGCTTGAAGGCTATCGAGTATTGGAATTGTGAGAAAACGGGGCGCTATAAGAATCAGTGCAAGAGTGCACAGAAGGAGAAGGAGGCAAATGCAGAGGTGAATGTCACTTTCACCTCGCGAGGAGATGACACATTGATATGCTTTTTGGAGAGGAAGGAAGAGTCTTGGGTGTTAGACTCTGGAGCATCGTTTCATGCCACTTCTCAGAAAGAATTCTTCGAGAAGTATGACCCCGAAAATCTGGGATATGTATACCTTGGTGATGATCAACCGTGTGGTATTGTGGGTTGCGGAAGTTAATACTACGTGTAGTTCGTGATTCTCCGAATCCTCCATCAGATTTTCCGTTAAGCGTCCTACATCATTAAGTGTCCGGAGCGGCTACCTCCTACAAGAGCCTAGATCTAGAGTTGCCCAAGGTCGTTAGACATCGCCAAACATGATCCCGACGGTCGAAAATAAATATATTATCTATCTATATTTTTAACCCAAACCAAATAAACAAAAACACTGACCTCTTACAAGCTTGTCTTTGCCCTCTTCCTTTCTCTGGTTCTCAAGCTTCTACTCTTTCATATTTTCCCTTTTTTTAAAAGTTTTCATGGCTTTTGGATTTCTAAACTCCCATATAATTAGTTATACTTACAACACAAAATAACCCAATTTACTACCTACAGTTACGAAACTCTTTATTAACTTTAAAAAAAAGGATACTCTACAAGAACAACATTCTTCTATTTCCTCCCCCTCCTACCCCCCATTAACGCCTAAGAACCTTCACACAAGTGAACCTTGAGCGGCACACACGATAAGGAATCGGCCTAACGTGTACGCCCGGACAACATCACCGCTCAACTAATTAATCAGAGCTAATAAATATGATAATTTTCAATCATGTTATTATCACTAATTAATCTTTTATTAGTCATTCGTAACCTCTGATTAATTATACACGTCCTCACTTTCACAAAACCTTTGGTAAATCAGTAGAATAAAAAAATAATATACTTCAAAAATAATTTACAATAATAAGAATAATTATGATAATTATTATATTAAAATATTTTATATTTATAAATTATAATAATTTAATTAAAATAAATAGTACAAATAAAATAATATACTATTTATCAATTGTATTATTATTTTTCTATGCTTAGTTGTTATAAATGAGAATAGTTATTGTTGTCCTATAGAAATAACTGTTAATCACATTCAACTGGCTGACATGTGTCTCAAGCAGACTACACACCGACATGACCCAGATACACAGACTTCTCGCCTCACTCAAAGGACGAGACGAAAGGCATTCCTTCTCGTTTCCCTCGAGGGTCCAGATAAAAGGACTCTTTTCTCGGCCCTCTTGCAAAGCCGAGACGGAAGACAACCAATCATAATCATATTAAATGCACAGTCGGAGTCATGATTATATCGCCCTAGGAAGTCCTGATGACTCATCGTACCTTGTCAGCACCTCACTCCCCCTGTCACTGTCGTATTTATCATAATGGTGACTCATGCCGCCCACAGCCAACACCCTGTGATGTATCAGTCGAATAAGCTGATTGCTTGGACTCAGCCGAAGTTACACAAATACCCTCGTCAACTCGGTATAAATAGGCAGATCGCCTATTGACTAAATGTATGTAACTTCTGCATAGGGGTTAGTCATCTAGAACTTAAAACTAGAACTGGGATAATTTGTGGGATAAATTTTTAAGGTGTTAGTCATATAGAACTAGGAAATGAGATATTTTTTTTATAGTATTAGTCAAATAGAACTTTTGTAGAACTAGAACTGTATTATTTTTTTGGTGCGTTAGTCAAGTAAAATTCTACTAGAATTAGAATTAGGATAATTGGTCATAATTATCCCACAAATTATACTACCTATATATATAATCATAAGTTCTCCTCTCTTAAATTATCTCACACATTGGAAAGAATACAATTGGGAAAAAAAAGTAAAACGCCGCCTCCCTCCCTCTTGGTTAGTTTCTCCACCTAGAAAATTTCTCTGCCATGAAGTCAATCATCCGTTTATTTTTCTGTTTTTACTTTGTTTTTGTGATGATTAGATCTTTTATTATTATCTTCAAGATGTATTACTTTATTGATAGCTTTTTGACGTTAAATTACTTTATTATTATTTGTTTGATCTAAGTTTTCTCTCCACAACAGTGGTTTAGGTTAAGAATATAGTGTTGGTGGGTTAGTGCTAAAGATATGCGGGCTATTTATGTTTTTTTTATAAGTTAGAAAGCAACTTTGCGATCACATTGATGATTAGATGTTGAATGGTTAATGGTGATATCTATTATTATTAAATCGGCTTAGTAAATTGATTGGGATATTTATAGTTCATCTGTCGATCATCTGTTTAGTGGCCATTGATGATTCCTGTGTATATTTTATTTATTTGCTGATATGGTTTCAGCGATCATGATGAGATTAGTCCAAAGAGTTAATGGCTGAAAAATGCTTATTTTTCTTTCTTTATGATGTTATGAGATTTGAACTTCGACATTTATGATCCTCCGCTAGAAGCTCCACAAAATGTTGCTGATGCAGACGATGACTCCGATAAATATGATGAGTTACAGACTCAACTAGCAGCTGTAGAAGCTTGGAGAAATTCTATGGCAGATGCCATGTGGGATGATAGAAGCCATGTGGGATGATGGAAGTCGAGTCACTCTAGGGATTTAGATTTTTAATTATTTATAAATTATTTTATTATTTGAGATGAATAGTAATGCTTTATTGCATTATATTTTATAGTTATTACTAGAATTTTCTTATCAATATTATATTATTTTTAATATATAATTATTAACAATAGTAATTTATACCCACCATTACCCTCACCAAATTATCCTATCAAATTATGCAACTTCATAATATTATCCATCATTATCCTACCAAATTATCCTACCAAATTATCCCACTTTAAAAATTACCCATCATTGTTTCACTAAATTATCCCAGTGTCAAAAAATTATCTCACTTTACCAATTATCCCAGAATTACCCATCATTGTTTCACTAAATTATCCCAGTGTCAAAAAATTATCTCACTTTACCAATTATCCCAGTTCTACTTAAAAAGTTCTTGTCAAAAAATTATCTCACTTTACCAATTATCCCAGTTCTACTTAAAAAGTTCTAGGTGACTAACCCCCAAGAGAACTATATCAGTTCATTTCTCCTCTTCAAATCAAAACTAATTTGATCGTTGTAGGAACCACCAAAGAACCAAGTCCGATCCTCTAACGTGTTGCATGTGTGTAGGACAGTCTTTCTATGAGAGGATCAACCATCAAAGGAGAGCAGGGAACCCTAAAACTCTTCATAATCCCTATTAAATTTTTCTGTTTGATATCCGACATCAACAGTAATAAAATTATTCAAATTATCACAACCATTCATACAATTCTTTATACATAATTTTATTGTACAAAATCAATTATTAGTATCATGTTTTAATTTTTCTATTTAAGAATTTATATCGTTATAAAAGTTATTTCATCATGTTTTAATAAAAAAAATTCAAAGTATAACACAAGTATGTCCACGTGCATTTTGTATAAAAAGGAGAATTATGGTGTGTAGCTTTTTGCTTTGCACTCCACGTTTTTCAATGATATTTCTCGATCTCTCCCCATGGATAAAAGGTTTGGCAGAAGCATGTCGATTGGTTTTTGTTTTTGTAAACTATGACTTACATTAATAACCAGAAATTAACCCAACCCAAAGGGAAAAAAGACTTCGCTCAAGAGTTACTAGAGTGACTATGCTCAAGTCCACAATACTGTCTACCTAGCTTCTCGTTGCCTTTTCCCCCCATTTTTAATTCCAAAAGATAAGAGAAGACTTCAGTTGATTCTTCATTGAAAGCTCTTACTTTCTGTTGGTAGCCGCCTCGTTATGCTCCACTCAAATCCCAAAGACCTTGCATCTTACGTTTCCTCACCTCTATCTTTCTAGCAAAACACTATAAATACCAATCAAACATGCCACACAAGTTCATCAAAAGCCAAACCTGAATAGTTTCTCTCTTCACTAACCCACATATATCCTTTCGCATCATGACTTCTCTCCCTCCGGGCTTCCAATTTTTCCCCTCTGACGAAGAGCTCGTCATCCATTTCCTTTATCGGAAGGCGCTTGGCCATCGAGACATCATTCCTAGCCTTGATCTCTACACTCATGATCCATGGGAGCTTGATGGTAAGATTATTGTAATTTCGTATTTTAGCATGTATCAGGATTGCTCTGGTACCATTTAAATTACAGTTAAGATATTGAGAGTTAAAATTTTATACGGGGATTAGGTTTACATAAACATTTTTTTGGGAAACGATATTAGTTAAACTTGGCCATCTTCATTTCGTGAAGGAAAAGCTCTACAAGGAGGTAACTATTGGTACTTCTTTAGTCAAAAGGCACGAAATAGAGCAACAGGGCCTAGTGGATGTTGGGATTCGGAGGCAGACGATGAGCCAGTTACGAGCGGAAGGGAGAATGTTGGTGTGAAGAAAACATTTGCGTTCTATGCGGATGGTATCAAAACAAGCTGGGTGATGCATGAGTACCATCTATTGCAACGTGTTGATAGAGATGGTAGTACTAGTTCTAATGGTCGAAGGTCTTCCAGGAGAAAAGGAAACCCTAGAATGGCAAGTATATATATGTATCCTCTTTCTTAACGTAGTCTTGTTAATAGCTAGCATATTAAGCATAGTATCATCAAATGCTAATATCTTTTTCGTTGCTGTTGTTATCGTCATCGTCCTCTTGTGATACTCAGGGAGATAATAAATGGGTGATATGCCGAGTGTATGATTCAAGCTATGATTCTGATCAATTGAGATTGTATGAGGAGGGGATGGAGCTTTCGTGCTTGGATGAGGCATTCTTGTCTTTGGATGATGATCTTGATGATATAAGCTGGCCCAATTAGTGGTGATGTCTAAGCCAATTAACTATGAAATTCTAGCTAGTGAGGTGTGTGCGTGAGAGAAATGATCTCTATTTTTATGTATGTATATATTGTCTTACTAGAATATATTCAAATGACAGAAACTAAGTGTTACAACAAATCTTATCCTTCTCTCTTTGTGATTAAGTTTGAATCATATGGAGATGGAGGATATTGTTGTGCGCGACAGAAGCCAAACAACGATGTGCTTCGAGAAACCAAACTAATCGCCGAGAGAGAAGGCAAATCAAATCAAACAATAACGGCACAAACTCAAACATAAAAGTTTAACGTGGTTCGGCAAATTGCCTACGTCCACGGGCAAGAAGGGATGAGTTTCCACTATAGATAAAAGAGAGTACAAATTAGAGATTACAAGATCACTCAACTAACCTCTCAAACAAATCTCTCAAATCTCTCAAACTAAACCATCAAACAAATTGCTCAAAAAGATCTCTCTTTTCTGTGCTCAAAATCACCTTCAAGCTACCCCAAAATCCAATTCTGACAATTGGAACGATTTAAAACCCTAAACAAAACGTATTTCTATTTATATCAAATAGAAAACCCAATCACAACAGGAAACCAAGCCCAGGCCCTAAACCGCATCGCGGTTGACCGTCGTGCCAGTTGCGGTCGACCGTGGCCAATCAGCAGAGAACAAAAAATCACTACAGGGTCTCGCGATCGACCGTCGCGCCACTCGCAGTCGACCGCAAAAAGTCTAGAGACTTTTCCTGTGTTAGTGCACGTTCACGGTCGTCCGCAGCTCTACTCACGCTCGACCGTGCAGCACCCAAAACGTTTTCTACTTCAATTTTTCTGAGCTTCGTCGCCTTCACCTCCAATTCTACAATTCTCCATCTCGGTGAAGTTTTCCCAAAGCTAAGCCGACACCAACCAAAATAAATGTCTCACTTATTACGTCCAGTACGAACTAAAACAAAATCACAACAACAGACTCAATCCACAACAAGTTGAGACCCAAATGAGAATGCGAATACTCTCCAAACGTCGGTATCTACCCATCAAATCGGCTGCATCATAAATGACTGCCTACGTATCCTCTTGTCAAAGGAATCAAGCCGTCACGTAGTTCCCCAAATAACCTCCAAAGGCCCCCAATCAAATAGAAAAGTTCTCAACTCTTCACCAATAAATATGCGGCTGATAGCTCTCTAAATGGTCCTAAAGTGAAACAAATCAAATACCTCCACCTGAGGTGAACCAATAGTTGTATCCAAATCATATCCACCAGCTATATTTGAATCAACCAACTCATCATCTACACCCAAATCCAAATGATCCCATAATTGTATCACCTCCGCTGGAATCTTAAACGATACAGTATGATCTGGAGTATGTGGAGTAATCTCCACCTAATGTGGAGTAGCATCACTCTCTACCCGCTGCGATGCATCTAAGGTCTGTCCAAAACTCTTCACCTGCTGAGAGTCAATTAGCCCCCTCATTGAAGCCTCAATCAAAATAACACTACCAGACCAAACATCTAATGGAGTTTTATCTCCAATCGTAGCTGTCGACAGCCTATGACCAAGATGACCTAAATATGTCAAAGCCTCAACACCAGAATCAATGCTCGACATCAAACGTCAGTCCTCCTCCAGCAAGGAACAACTTATCAAATCTGTCATCTCATCTCGTTGTCCCAAGATTTCCTTTCCACTAAAGTATCTCAAAATACCGTGAGCTTGGCTCAAATGTAGAAATAGGTCTCTCTTATACCTCCCACCAAAATCAGAATGAAGTACCTTCACCTTTCTACCAATATCATACTTCTTCAATCTGCTGGAGACTACTAGGACTTTATCCAATCGGAATTTGGTTGCAACCCAAGCATGCCTAGAATAGCCACGAATAAAGAAAACCAAACATCTATTACCTCCCAATGATGCCTCCTTAGAAGACCTCCAAACATCTGTGTGAACTCCACCTAAAAGACCCTTAGCGCGGTGAATAGAGGTACCAAACTTCACCTCGGTCTTCTTGCTCACATCAAAGTGTTCACTGGACTTCAAATTATAGGTCTGTGCACCCATCTCCAAATCAATACTAGAATGACAAAGTCCCAAATACCGCAGTCTAGTCGAATCAACAGAAGTCGTCAGCTCTCCACCTGTCACCGAACTTCTAATTAAATAGAACAGGTTATTCATACTGACGCCCTTCATCACAATCAAAGAATCTTCCACTATCTCGAGAACCATGTCCTCAACACGAACCTTCAGACCCTCTCTAACCAAAGCTCCAATTGAGATCGTTCTTTCTCAAGAAAGGAACAAATCTCGCACTATATAACTCCCTAACAGTCCCGTCAAACATCTTGATGCGAATTCTTTTTATCCCAAGGATCTGGCATTCACGGTTGTCTCCCATGTATACCTCACCACTATCCAGCTTCTTAAAACTAGAGAACCATTTCCTTCTAGAGCACACATGATAGGTCGCACTACTATCCAACATTCACTCGGATTCCTCTGAATAGGTATCTGTAGGACTGATAGAAAGCGAATAAATAGAAGTATCAGAAATATTACCATCCGATATAACGATGTTTGTTTCTGATAATGGTTGCTTCCCTTTTCCCTTTTGCTTATTCTTCATCCATTCGTCGAGCTTTGGATAATCTTTTTTCAATGACCAGTCTCCTTGCACCAAGCACACTGATCTTTTCTAACTTTAGGATACACCACTCTAGACTGTGACTTCAAATTCTTTCGGTTTGGATTCTTCCCTCTTTTAACCAACGCCTCCGCTACTGTCTCAATGAAGTCTCCTTATTCTTCTTTCGTAGCTGGTAATTCACAAGTGTAGCAGTGACCTTACTATATGAAAGAGACGCCTTCCCATTAATTAGGATAAGAGCAAAGGTCTCATATTCCTCATCTGGTAAGGAACTCAACAACAACAAAGCTTTGTCCTCATCCTCTATCATAACATTCACATTCGCCAAATCCGCAAGAAGATTCGTGTAGTGGTTTATGTTATCACTAATGGAGGTTTCCTTCTTTAATTGGAAGTGATAAAGCCTGCTCTTCAAGTGTAAGCGATTTTTCACACTCTTGGTCATATACTTGCTCTCAAGGGTCTCCCAAATCTTCTTAGCCGAAGTCTCATTCATCACATCATACTTTAATTCTTGAGTCAAACAAGACCTAATCACACAACACGCTGTTCTGTTCATTTTCTTCCAAACTTTTTCATCAATATCATCTGGCTTGCCATCCAATTCCAAAGTATCTTCTAAATTTTGTGCGTTCAGCACATCCAAGACTTCATATCACCAAAGTCTAATATTGTTAGTGCTATTAAACTTCTCCACGTCTATCTTCATAGAGTAGATATTCAAACTTTGGACGGTCTTCAATTTACACCTGAAGTACCCTCCACAATTCCTTCTTTCCCGGTCATAATTCCTCAAAGCACCAACAACCAAGGCGGAATAAATGAAGAATAGATCCAAAAACTAAAAAAGATAGAGTCTTTACTAAAAAGATCACACCTTTAACTCCAAATGAATCCCTAGCCGAACTTCCAAAGTGATCTACTCCTCCAAATAGACCAAGTGTAGCCCTAGCTCTGATATCACTTGTTGTGTGTGGCGGAAGCCAAACAACCGATGTGCTTTGAGAAACCAAACTAATCGCCGAGAGAGAAGGCAACTCAAATCAAACAATAACGGCGCAAACTCAAACAAAAAAGTTTAACGTGGTTCAGCAAATTACCTACATCCACGGGGTAAGAAGGGATGAGTTTCCACTATAGAGAAAAGAGAGTACAAAGTAGAGATTACAAGATCACTCAACTAATCTCTTAAAAAAATCTCTCAAACTAAACCCTCAAACAAATTGCTCCGAAAGATCTCTCTTTTCTGTGCTCAAAATCACCTTCAAGCTACCCCAAAATCCAATTCTGGCAATTGGATTGATTTAAAACCCTAAACAAAACGTATTTCTATTGATATCAAATAGAAAACCCAATCAGAATAGGAAACCAAGCTCAAGCCCAAAACCGTATCGTGGTCGACCGTCGCTCCAGTCACGGTCGACCGTGACCAATCGACAGAGAACAAAAAATTACTACAGGGTCTCGCAATCAACCTCTGCACCACTCGTGATCAACCGTAAAAAGTCCAGAAACTTTTCCTGTGTTCATGCACGTTCGCGATCGACCGCTGCTCTACTCGCGGTCGACCGTGCAGCATCCAAAACGTTTTTTGCTTCAATTTTCCTGAGTTTCGTCGCCTTCACCTCCAATTCTACAGATATAATAAGCTAAATATACTCTCCTATAGTGTTAAAAATCATCCATTGTCCCTTCATTATATCAGATTCGAAAGTTGTAATAATGATTGACCTTATCAAGTAGAACATATACAAACCAAGTCTCACCACCAATTTTGTTCCAGAATGAACATCTTTTTCATAATTGAAAACATGATCTCTTATGCACAGGCCTTTTTAATCTATTTTAAAATTTGAGGCATGTGAGGTTGAACTTGATTTGCTCTGATATCATGTTAAATATCTCTTTCACATCTTAAAATTCCAAAGTGATCACAAAGATTCTATAATTTTATACTCTAACCTATGGTAGAGTGAATGAGTTTTCATAAGATAGAAACATATGTTTCATCTGGATATAATATGTTGCTTCATCTTGAAAGCAAGTAGAATATTTAATGGAAGGGGCCACATTAATAGCTTAGTGGGGGCGTGGTGTCCTTTTAGCTATTCTCTTGCAACCTCATATTATACTTCCTGATCTCCTTAAATTTGTGATCTCTAATGCTTGTGGTTCAAGAGCAGTGATGACGCGAGCATTTCCATATCTATGTTGTCAGCGATTTATATATGGCCTCGATCATGCACTGCGCACGCGATGCAAGTGGCTGATCAAGTGGAGCATTACATTGTGGATACATAGGAATATCAGCTGTACATTGTCTTTGGGAGTCCGCTGGGGAAAGGGATGGAAAGTCAAAATAGGACAAGAGAGGGTAGAGAAAGAGATTGAAAATGTTAGTAATTAAGATGAGGTGAAGGCAAAATTGGATTTCATAATCAAATCTTAGTAATTGATT